GGGGCAAGAGGAAGCCACTATATGACAAGCCACTATATGACCATGACATACATCTGCTGTATAACCTTTCCAGATACCTGTGGGTGTTCCAGTAAGACTTTCCCCCTCTGACCTCACTTCCAACTTCTGCTTTGGTTTTCTGTTCTCTTTCATTCTATTTACACACATAATTTTCAGTAGATTTCATGAGTGGTGTGAGTTTTACTCGTAGTTAATCCCTGATAGTAGTATTTCTTATTCTCTCTCTTCTAGTTTTGCCCACTATTTGCATAGAAACTTAATTTCTGTCACAGTTATTCTACTTTCTGTTTTTGTATTGCATGGTAGACTTTCTATACCATAAATAAAAGTTGGTACAAATACCGACTTGTAGATTTGTAATTTAGTTTTAATACCAAACTTCATGCGAAAGAAATTTTTACTTATTTGATGAAAGATGGAATTTGCCTTCGTAACTCTGTTATTCATTTCCTCATACCTGCAGTCATCTGAAATAATTGTACCCAGGTACTCATAACTCTGAACTTGTTCCAATTCTTCCTAACCCCAGGTAATCCTCATTCCCCCTTTTATTGCCCTATACACATAATTTTACTCTTGCTAGTATTCATTTTCATTCTTTGGTCTTTCAACGCATGTCCCCACTCCCTGACATTCTCCTGTAGTTCCCGTGGGTTTTTGTCAATGAGCAGTATATCATCTGCATGAATCAGAGACTGTGTCCATACCGGCCTCATTCGCCCATTTCTTATCATACATTTCTTGGTCTGTTTAATTATTGGATCCATGAATGTAATAAATAATAGGAGGGAGCCAACTGTTTCACACACTTATTGGTTTTAAATTTCTCACTATGTTGGTCAACTCGTCTCACAGTAGCATACACAACAAATAAAAATGGCATAGGTCCAAAACAATTTCAAAAGTTTGAATTGCAGAAAAATTTAGTAGTTTTCATGCAATTTGTGCAATTTACAAAATAACAGAAACAAAATTTTCTGAAAGATGGTTCAACATTTTTTCTTTAAACTTTTGTAGGGGTAGTGCTAAATGTCGTTAACGTTACCAGCGATTCACTTACATTTCTGCATTTGTGAATACACATGCTTTAAATAATGTCTTATAAAGTTTTCCAAGAACTCAAAAGTTTTCTTTCATGAGCTTCAAAAACCGCATTTATAGTAACGTTTAAATGCCATTTTTTTAAAAACGGCTCTGAGTTTTGCAACGAAATAGGACGAGGATTAAGTTATAGGATGAGGTTTTACACTTTTATAATATTCTTAAAGAGTAATTTCACTTCTACTATTAGGAATTTAAAAAACTGAGAAAATTGAAAAAAAGTTTGTTCAACGAATCTAATTAATAACATTCAATAATAATCAATTAAAGAACTAACAAACTTGAAAACAATGCATATAATTGCAGCACAATTCAATTAAAGCATATAATAAATGAATTATTTTCATGTTTATAATAGCACCCAAATTTGCCCCCACAATAGAAGATCCAAAATCTCATCTCTATTCACCTCTATGTGTATTTTTCTTCATAATACGCACATACATGAGAAAGTAAAAAATAAAGAGAAAAAAATTACATAAAAGTGTAAAAACAGAGCCAATATTGCAGTAAGTAATATAAAAACTTGCCTAGCCTATCGTTTTATACCTTTCTAGCATTTTACACTTTTTTCCATTGGTCCCATGAAAAGTTCAAAAAAAGGGTTTTACTGTATCTGTATGTATATTTGGAATGCTAGATACCAGAGAGAACATTGCATAATCAGATCCAGAAATCTATTAGGAAGACCCAATATGAAAGTCAGGATATCAAGAAGACCCATATGGAAATTGAAGTTTCGTGAGCAGATAGTGGAGGCATATAGTATGGCAGATCTAAGAAAGGCCATGTATAAAGTTCTCAAAACAATACTACTTCTGAACTCACTACATAATCTCTTAATCACGCTGGAGAGATTTATTGATAACCGTATTGATATGTTTGGTGATAGTCCTTTTCACATCAAAGATTACACCAATTGAAAATACTTGATTGAGGTTCACATCATTAATTGAATACATCAAAGGTATTTCCACTTCTCAAACAGTGATATATCTATATTTTATTCAATTTTCTCAAAAATAAGACAAATATCATCAATAAACACTAGAAAAAATAGTGGGTTCAAATGTGTGGCTTGGAGTACCCTGAAGACACAAGGATCTCTTGGGTGATGATATTTTTTATTTAACGAATTGAAATGTTTTGCAATTAATTAGCTAATCAGTCAACCATTTCAACAGAGACTCTGATATTCTAAAAGAATTAAGTTTTAAAATAAGTAAATTGTGATTAACAGAGTCAGATGCATTGCTTAAATCAATCAACTAGGGTTTTCTTTGCAGCAAATCAAGTATTCTGGCAACATAAAATAAGTTACTTTCGTTATTTCATCCTGGAATAAACCAATTTCCCAGAGAGTGATTTGAATTTCCTACTCAAATTAGACAAAGCAATATTTTTTGATTTCTTTTCTTTATGGTCTTTAATACTTAAAATAATACACGATTTAAATTCTGTAGTGTACCATGACGGAAATTTAGACTTGACTAATCATTTTTGTTTGGAACACGTAACTCCATATAAAAAGCTACAGAAAGAAACTTACACATTCAGGAAAAGGGAAGTTGTCAGAAATAAGAGTGAAGAGTAAATGTAGGCAAAGGATAATTTGACTTTAGTCTCCTGCCTCAAATTCATAGGCCCAATCATCATTAACAGTATAAACAGAAGTTTCACAATGGGAAAAATAGATAAAATTTGGATCCATCTTTGGATACAATTCTGTTGCTCGCACAAGTACAAAGTACATTCAGGGTACTAGAAAAGACTAGATCGAGAAAGCCTCTATGAATATTTCAATTCGTATTGCAATGATAGAGGTTAAAAAGACAAAGCATTAGAGAAAGATTCTTTGCAATGTTCCTCACTTGTCTGGTTGTCTTATTAATAAATATCGAGAAACTACCGCGCTTGCTAAGATTCCAAATTACACTTATAATCGCCAAATAACATTCAATCAATACCGAAGTAAATCTTAATCTAATGACTAACGCAGAAAAATGGGACATCATAATGTCTTCGGATCCATAAAGTGGAAAACAGATAACCCCAACATTATTATTATTAACTTGATTGGCCACATTGGACCAGTTGAGTCGTTCCACTTCACTTTGGTCGACTGTCGAAGGTTTTCACCTTGAGGTGAGGATAAATTCTCGAGTTACAATTCTGAATGTTATTCAGAAAGGTGATAATGAGAGATGGATGATGATGATGATGATGATGATGATGATGATGATGATGATGATGATGAGGGCTGAAAGGACGAACACAAGACAACCATGCCCGAGGCGGGACTCGAACTCGATCTTTCGGAACGAGATCGCTACGGCACAACTGCCTTAGCGATCTCGGCCACCGGATCAGCCGATAACCCCAACAATTATATTAATATCAGAATCATGAATGCAGATAAATAAGTGCTCATCATTTCTTTCTGCATTGAGCACAATACTCTGAATAGTGTTTTGTATTGTGATGAGAAGGCAGTCTCTTTTACCAAAATTACTCTTTTGAGGGTTTTCTGTAATTTCTATAAATAATAAAATGTTGCTTCATCAGCTCAGAGTTTAAAATTTCAGGGATAAGCCTTCTTTCTGTGAGGATTAATGTCATACTCATCTAGTACGTATGTAAATGTCTCAATGTCATTTAATTTTGTCTTCAATCATCTAACATTTTGATATTAATAATTATACCATTTAATTTTTTTTTGTTGCATTAACTTTAATATCAACAATCTTGCGAGTACCATTAATTTACTGGTAGTTAACTTCGGTCTTGTTAGAGTTCATTTCCAATTTTTTTAAAAAAAATTATCATAGGTCAATCAATTATTAAAAAATATTATCAAGATCAATTTTTCAGGTAAATGAGACAAGATTTATTTACCTCTTCATGTTCCTTGCATAACCAATGTGGCAGTTCCCCTTCACCCATAAGTCGTGGCCTACCCTGCTTGGTTTCCTCATGTCGTCTTTCCACATCCATTCGCTGGAACAGCTCGAACTCAGCTTCACAGCGAGCTATCATCTGATTCACAGTCTCATCATCAGGAACTTCATTTTCTTCCTGTAAATAAAATAGAGATTCATTTTATTGGTAGCATCAATGTATCAATTTGTATAAAAGCTCTGAGGTCCATCACAAACTTAAAATAATGAAAAACATCTTATGACAAAGAAGCCAGAAAAATGTATTTACCGCATATACTGGAATATAAATCAATCTCAAATATAAGACAACCCCCTAATTTTGAGAGGCCTCCTGAGAAATTTTACAATTTTAAACTAATTTTTACTATTTAGTCAAAATAAAATTACAAAACGTCTTATTGGGTGATCTGGGCTGTCCGGGTGACGCCGCGTCGTAGGCTGAGTTGCCGACGTTTCGACCATCCTGTCATGGTCTTCCTCAGGCATACCAGCCCTGAGGAAGACCACGACAGGATGGTCGAAACGTCAGCAACTCAGCCTTCGACGCGGCGTCACCCGGAAAGCCCAGATCACCCACATGACTCTGGTCGCGGAAGCCTACGACTTCATAAAACGTCTTATTGACTAGAAAATTAGAAACTATTATTTTCTTGTTCCTTAATATCATAATCAAAGTTTCTGTCACTACCCTCATCATCTTCACAAGTATCAATGTTTCTCTTTTTGGTCCTCCTTCTGTGCTGAGACATTTTCTGACGTTTTAAGCCCCTTCCTAAATTTTCTATCTGTCCCGGACTTGTTAATGGCCTCTGTTTCTGTTCAAAATGCAGATTTGTATTTGCCGGGCTCTCCAAAAATTAAAATAATATTTCACCAACAATCTAGATATTGTAAAGTATCATGAGCTGATGATTTGCTATGAGAAGAAAGGATCAATCTCAAATTTCCCCCACTTTTGTCACTGAGGACAGGAACATCTTTTTATTTACATATAAAAACTTTTCCTGACAGGTACACATACATATTTCCATTTCCATAAAATTGTAATAGACAAAGTAATTCAGTGTAATTCCTTCTTTTTTATGGTAAAGGAGAGAATGAGATCAATGTTATGTAAACTGGTTTAAAAAGTTATACAGTAAAACTTGCTAAATGCAGAAATCTGCCCAATGTGAACAGAAACCAAGGTCCTGGCAACGTATAAGTAAATTCTACAGTATTTCATTGTATAATGCAGAATCTGTCTAACGTGGAAACGGACACAAATATATTATATATCTTGTCAAAAAGTAAGCCATTTTTATGAACAAATTTATGAGTCACTGAAGCCCAAGGAAAGAATAATGAAACAGTGGATGCCAGGGAATGAAGAGAATGTCTAGGAAAACCTGCAATGAAGTAAACGAAAGAGAGTGGGAGTGGTTTACGAGAGCAAGATCAGAACTTCTGCATATTTGAGGACCGATACTCAAAGTCAAGCTCCAGCTGTGGTCAAAACTCTGGGGAAGCGAACAGTTTAAGGCATTTTCAGGTTGTTTGAACAGCTTTAAGAAAAGACATTTATTGTGTGGAATGAAATTTATTGGGCATCTACAGAAGTGAATGAAAGGGTTGTGAATGAATGGAAACCAAAATTGCTTAAAATGATTTTGGGTTTTGGAGACAAAAATATTTTTAATGCAGATGAAACAGGATTTTTCTTTCAAGCTTTACCATCAAAATAACTCATTAAAGGTGAAAAGTGTGTTGGTGGAAAACTCTCTAAAGAGAGACCGATAGTTCTGGTGTGTTGCAATATGGAAAAACCTTTAGTGATAGGAAAATCAGCAAAGCCAAGATGTTTTAAAAACCTAAACATGAATAAGTTGCTGGTGATATGGAGAAACAATAATAAAGCATGGATGACAACTACAATAATGGAAGACTAGCAAAAGATGTTCAATGGAAAAATGAAGAAAGAAAATAGATGTGATGTTATTTCTGGACAACGCCACATGTCATCCAAAGACGTCTCTTTTGTATGTAAAACTCACCTGGTTTTCACCCAATTCAACACGTTTACTGCAACCCATGGTCACGGGAGTTATTTACACTTTTAAGTCATACTATAGACGGACGGTAATGCAATTTTTTATTACAAATATGAAAGGTGTTCATTCACATTTCTTTATTATTTAAAAATTAAAACACACACACACACACAGCTGAACAAACTCAACAAGAAAACTGTTCAATTGTCATGAATCAATCCACTGACATAAAGAAACTTACCTCATCATCTGCTTCATCTTGATGAAGAATGGTTTTTAAGAATTGCTGCCTCTCAGATCCAGTTGATTTTTGATCAAACATACCAGCCTGAATTACTTTCTCATCCATATTGAGCTTATAACGAGCAGCAGCAAGAATTCGTTCTTCAACAGAATTCACAGTCATCAAACGCAGAACTCGCACTTCATTTTTTTGGCCAATACGATGTGCACGATCTTGAGCTTGTAAATCCTACAAAAAAACACACACTCAAATATTAATCCTGAAGTTAACAGCACTTTCAGAATGTCAATAATATTATGGGTGTACTACCTGATGTGGATTCCAATCTGAATCAAAAATGATCACTGTGTCAGCAGACTGCAAATTAAGACCTAGACCTCCGGCTCTAGTGCTGAGGAGAAAAACAAAATATTCTGATTCTGGGTTGTTAAATTTTCTGAGAAGTTCTCCTCGATCTTCAGCTTTAGTAGTTCCATCAAGCCTTAGGTAATGAAAGCCACGCCAGGTCAAGTAATCTTCCATAATTGTCATTAATTGGGTCATTTGACAAAACAGCAGGACTCTATGTTTTGTAGCTTTCAATTTAGGAAGTATCCTATCCAAAAGTTCAAATTTGCCTGAGGCTCTATACAGATCAGGCCTAGACACAGAAAGAAAATAATTAAAGAAGTAAAATATACACATTTACTATCTACCTATCTGTAATAAATAATTTCTATACACACCCAATAACAACATTACTGTGTATACCAATGTGATCACAATAGGCCTTTTCAATATGTTGAAACATGAAAGGGTGATTACAAAGTTTACGGAGTTGCATGATTGTATTCATTAGCGCTTTAGTTCCACCTTTGCCCTGTTTTCCCTTTTCGGATCCATCTGTCAAGAGAACTCCTTTGTTTTGCATGTGACTGAAAAGAAGTAATAGATAAGTAACATACCATGCAAAAAGTGGAAAATAAGCGTGTAAAACAATTCAAAAACATTTCTTTATAGTTTGCTGTAGGCATGTTACCTGTACAAAATCCTTTGTAAACCTGACATATCACATTTGATTATATATTCCACTTTGTCAGGTAACTGTGATTCCACTTCCTTCTTCAAGCGTCTCAGCAAAAATGGTCTTAAAACTTTATGCAACCGGCGGATAATCAAAATTGTTTCTTCTTCATTCAATTCCACCTGCAAT